CAACAATCTGGGTCCTCATTTTACCCACCTCGGAAGGATGGAAGGCTGAGTCAACTTTGAGCCAGTCAGGATTGAACTCCTGGCAGTGGGCAGAATTAGCCTGCAATACTGCACTCTAACCACTGCGCCACCACAGCTCTTAATGACCATTTCACTTAGCAACGGAAATTCCTTTCCCAATTGTGGACTAACCCATAATAACAAGCGCACACAAAAAAAACAGCTCAGCTCAATCCATAAGTTAAACCTAACAAAGGAGTCTCAGTTTTGCCATCTCGTTTCACATGTTTTCAGAAATGAGTAATTACTCTTGATTGACCAATTCTTCCTTCCTTCCCGAATTAGGGCAGTCACTCCCAATCAGGTGAGCTTCTCTCATAATGAAAAAGGAAGGGGGGGGGGAACCCAGCCCCTTCCTCCCCCTTTTTTAAAAATATGAAAAAAAGAAGGAAAAGTTTGGGAGAACAGAAAAAGATCAGGACCAGAGGTGGTATTCAGCAGGTTCTGACCAGTTCTGGAGAACCGGTAGTGGAAATTTTGAGTAGTTCAGAGAACTGGCAAATCCCACCTCTGACTGGCTCCACCCATCTATTCTCTGCCTCCCATTGAGTCCCAGCTGATCGGCTGGGTCTTCTTTTGTTGCCCTGCACAGGAGAATGGAGCTGGAAAGCAGGTTAGTGGGTTGAGGAGGGATTTTTCAGTATCCTTCCCCTGCCAGGCCCACCAAGCCACACCACGTCCCCCAAGTCTTGTCCACACCAGAACCAGTAGTGAAAAAATTTGAATCCCACCACTGATTAGGACTCTATAAAGCAGGGGTCTCCAACCTTGGCAACTTTTAAGACTTGCAGACTTCAACTCCCAGAGTTCCTCAGCTGGCTGAGGAACTCTGGGAGTTGAAGTCCGCAAGTCTTAAAAGTTGCCAAGGTTGGAGACCCCTGCTATAAAGAATTGGGGTTATTTCAGTGGTGGGATTCAAATATTTTTACTCCTGGTTCTGTGGTGTGGTTTGGTGGGCATGGCCATGTGACTGGGTAGGCCTGGCTTTTATTCGCAGCAGCAAACACCCCCCCCCCCATTTTGGGGGGCCTTCTGGGCCTCAGAGAAGCCTCCTGGGCCAAACAGTAAGACAGGGAGGGAAATCCCGGCACAGCTGATCCTTGGAACAGCTGATTGTCAGGAGGGGGAAAAAAGAAATACCTTAAGGAGTGACTAGGCTGGGTGAGTGTCAAATGGGTGGGGCAAGTGAGTGAGGGGTGACCGGGTGACTGGGTCGGGGGTGTGGCCAGCTAGAAGTTACTACCAGTTCGGTGACCCACGCCAAATCCTTGCTACCGGTTCGCTTGAACCGGTGCAAACCGGCTGTATGCCACCACTGGGTTATTTATGTATGTATGTATGTATGTATGTATGTATTTAGGAGCATATAAACAGCTTCAGCCAAGACCAGTCTATACACAAGCAGCAGCCACAGCCAACAGTATAACAACTACAGGTAGTTCTCAAAGTTACATTGGCCTTGAAAAAAGTTACCTAGGACCATTTTTCACACTTAAGGACCATTGCAGTATCACCCTGGTCATGAGATCAGAGCTCGGGGAGGCTTGGCAATGGGCACGTGTGTATTTATGAGGGTTGCATTGTCCTGGGATCACGTGACCACCGTTTTTAACCTTCTCAGACGGTTTTCGGCAAGCAAAGTGAAGGGGAGGTGGATGGGAGGAAGCAAGAATCACTTAACAATCACACGGTTCACTGAACAACGGCAAAGATTCTCTGAACAGCTGCAGTGACAAAGGTTGCCAGATGGGACCAAGCTCGCTTAACAGCCCAGAATAAGAGTTGGAAGGGACTTGGGAGGTCTTCTAGTCCAACCCCCTGCCAGTTTGCAGCAAGGGCTCTGTTGTGTCTCTATGAGAATGCTTACGTTTAACAAAAAATAATTCCTTTGCAAAAAGAAACCTGGCTTTGCTTGTCAGAAGATCACAAAAGAGAATCATATGATGCCAGGACACTAACGGTCATAAAAATAGAATAGGAATAGAATTAGAATTAGGAATAGAATAGGGAATAGAAATAATTAGAAATAGAAATAGAATAGAATAAGGAATAAAAATAGAATAGAATAGAATAAGGAATAGAAATAGATTAGAAATAGAATAGAATTATAATTAGAAATAATGGAATCAGATTGGAATGGAATGGAATGGAATAGAATAGAATAGAATGAGTTGGAAGGGACCTTAGAGGTCTTCTAGTCAAACCCGCTGCTCTGGCAGGAAACCCTACACCACTTCAGACAAATGGTTATCCTGTCTCTTCTTAAAAACCTCCAGTGTTGGGGCACCCGCAACTTCTGGTGGCAAGCAGTTCCACTGATTAATTGTGAGAAATTTCTCCTTAGTTCTAGGTTGCTTCTCTCCATGATCAGCTTCCATCCGTTGCTTTTTGTCCTGCCTTCCGGTGCTTTGGAGAATCGCTGGACTCCCTCTTCTTTGTGGCAGCAGCCCCTGAGATATTGGAACACTGCTATCCTTGCCACCCCCTCCTCGTCCTTCTTTTCATCAGATTAGCAATGGAAATTTTGTGGTTGTAAGACAAGGACAATCTGTGTCGAATGGTGAGATCCAACACGTTCCAACCCAGCTGACCTCAAGCTTGTCCTTCTGCCTCAGAGGGAACCTACCCTTGACCCTCATTCCCAGTGGCTTCCAGTTAAGGCGGGGCATCCCTGGGAGGAAAGAGGCAGGACCAGTTCTGCCTCTCGGCGTAGGGACGGCCTTTCTCTCCCACCCTCTTCGCTTACCTCTCGGTCTTTCCTCCACCCTTTCTGCCAAAGTAAGCAGCCTGCCTTTATCTCCTGTTAAAAAGTGCTAACAAGATTGTTTCTGGCACGGCGCCCCGTTCTGTCCAGAAAGGCAAACACGTTGGTGGAAAGCCAGGCGTAGCTGCCTCATGGCTCTCAACACACAGCTGTCTCTCTTCACCGGAGCTGGGCTTTAATCGGCAGGCTGGGATGGAGAACTTGAGCAACATCTTCAAGCAAAAGGCCACCGAGCAGCATCACAGAGCTGAGGTCATGATCGCAGGAGAACAGCTCAGGTACGTTGGGTGGTCGGACAACCCTTTGTCTGGAATATAGAGGGTTAGACTAGAAGACCTCCAAGGTCCCTTCCAACTCCCTCCTGTAGAGATTCTCAGTCATCCAGGTCATGGTTGTCCCAAAAGCGCCTTTTTTTTTTTCAGGAGGCAACTGGACTTTTTTCTTTTTTTCTTTTGAAGACGTTTCACTTCTCGTCCAAGAAGCTTCTTCAGCTCTGAGACGACAGTGGGGAATGGAAGGATTTGTATTAGATTCCAACTCTGTTATTCTTTTATTTTGATCAAGGTTTGCTTTTTCTCTTTCTCTCATTTTCGTTTTGAAAAAGGCCCAACGTTTAGCAACATCAGGCAAAGTACTTCCCAAGTTTAAAACTCCTTCCTTAAGGAAGGGGAGGAAATTGCAAACGTGTCTAATTTATGTTTTTTAAAAAAATAAATTTTATTAAAAGTTTTACAGTTTAAAAAAAAACACAAATCGTGTTTACCATTTTTGCAATATATTGTAGCATTGTTTTTTTTCCATCTTCCATATTCATATCTATATACATATATACATTATTCATATTTACATTATATATCTATTATTCCTATTATCTATCCAAGTATGTAGATTCTCCCAGACCATGTAGAATTCTCTTTTTTCCTTCTCTTGCAACTCCATAGTAAGCTTATTCATTTCTGCACAATCCATATTTTTTTTAATTAACATATTATCCGTGGGATTACCCTCCGCTTTCCAATTTTGAGCATAGGTTATTCTCGCAGCTGTCAGAATATGTATTATGAGATATTCGATTTCTTTTTTATATTTGCCTCTAATTATCTCTCATAAAAACATTTCTGGTTTGAATTCTATTTTTTCCTTTGTTATTTCTTGCAGCCAAATTTTTATTTTATTCCAGAAGTTTTTGGCTTTTAGTTTATGTTTTGAGGATGATTGGCTCTAGACGAAAAGGGGAATATATATATATATATATATTTATTTATTTATTTTCAGGTAGGGGGTCACTTTGAGTGTTTACATTCAGGTAGTTTACAGGAAAACTCAATTTTGCAAGAAATTGTGGGGGTGCCAAAGTCAATTTGACATGGTAAAAATGAAAAGAGAGTCTTCTTTTAAAAGCAGTTTTCTTCAACTTGGTGGTCCGAAGTGCATTGGCTAACTATGCTCAGGAATGCCAAAAATTGAATTTCTAGCATAGTTGGCATCTGACCGACTGGAGAAAGCTGTTTAAAGTTAGAGTAGATCTAAAAGTAGATCGACTTGGAGTGGGAGAAAGCAGTGTTAATAATATTCCTAGTGTAGTTGACCTGGCAATCAGACTCCAAAAGAGATGTCATTGATTCTTTTTAAAAAAAACTTATCCAAAGCTTCCTGTTCATTTATTATTTGACATGGCAATTTTCTCAGAAAATTGTGCTTCTATCTGTGGAAGTATTCAAATTGTTTTACTACTGGTCCTGTGGGCGTGGCTTGGTGGACGTGGTGTGGCTTGGTGGGCATGGCTTGGTGGGTATGGCAGGGGAAGGATACTGCAAAATCTCCATTCCCACCCCACCTCACTAACCTGCTTTCCAGCTCCGTTCTCCTGTGCAGGGCAACAAAAGAAGACTCAGCTAATCAGCTGGGACTCAGGAGGCAGAGAATAGATGGGGATGGGGCCACTCAGAAGTGGTATTTGCCAATTCACCTAACTACTCAAAATGTCCACTACCGGTTCTCCAGAACTGGTCAGAACCTTCTGAATACCACCTCTGGTTTCTATAATCAATTGCTGGACATCTGCCACATGATCAGAGGTGGTATTCAGCCAGTTCTGACAGGTTCTGGAGAACTGGTAGTGGAAATTTTGAGTAGTTCAGAGAACCGGTAAATACCACCTTTGACTAGCCCCGCCTCAATCTATTCGCTGCCTCCTGAGTCCCAGCTGATCAGCTGGGTCTCCTTTTGTTGCGCTGCACAGGAGAACGGAGCTGGAAAGCAGGTTAGTGGGGTGGGGAGGGAATGGAGATTTTACAGTATCCTTCCCCTGGAGTGGAGGGGGGGAAATGAGGATTTTCCAGTATCCTTCCCCTGCCACGCCCACCAAACCACGCCCACCAAGCCAAGCCACACACACCATGCACACCAATCCATGCCCACATAACCAGTAGTAAAAAAAAATTTGAACACCACCACTGCACATGATCCATTTAGTTCTAGGTTCAAGTGTCTTGCAGGATAGATAAATCTGGGGACTGATAAAAGTTCATTTGCTGGTTATTCTATAGGATTGGATAAATGGCAATAGTTGTGGGATCGAAATTATAAATTAACAACGTCTGCTGTACAAAGAAAATTGATATAACATGTTATATAGATGACACTTTCCACCAGCAAGTTTAGCCAAGATCTATAAACAGCTAAATGTTGGAAGTGTAATCAGATTCCAGGCTTGTACTACCACATATGGTGGACATGCCCCAAAGCAAAAACATATTGGACAAAAATACATACTTGGATAGAAAAAATGACAAAGGAACACGTAGATTTAAATCCAGAAATATTTCTGTTGGGTATCATACCAGAAAAAATATAATAAAGGGACTGTGTATTTAATATTACATGTGTTAACAGCTGCCAGAATTGTATTTGCACAACATTGGAAAGGTGTGGAGATGAGAAGATAGTAAAAAGAAAAAATAGCAGAATGTGCAGAAATTGATAGATTAACACTTGAAATTAAAGAGAAGGAAGATAACAGAATATTTTGAAACAGGGGATTGGTTTTATTTATGGTCAAATAAGAGAAACAGAAGTTAGAACATTTAAAATTATAAGTGAAGAATTCATTTTACCATGAGGGTTTATTATGATATGTTTATTAGCAATATGATTTAGTATTAACAATTAAGGATTAATATTATACTGAGAAAATATTTTTATTATATGATCATTCTAATGAACATTAAGATGATGATGATGGCTATTGCTCCAACTAACTGTAACCAGACAACACGCTGTTTATATAGACATTGAAATTGTTGCTCTTCCTTTATATAGTAAAAATAAAAAAAATATTGGGGGAAACAAAATAAAAGTTAATTTGCTGATTAACATGTCGTCCTTAGCTAGGAAAAATGTTGAAGTTAACATGGGAAGTAAGAAGCCCCAGTAGGAGAAATACAAAGAACAGAAAAAGAAGGAAAACTTGGATATTTACTTACCAAAAAGTTGCGTAACAATGTTCTTCTTACTTCTTATTGTAGTTAAATATGAGTCCTAAGTTTGAGAGCCCTGCCAGTCTAACAAGATTTAGACTTAGCCATTGGACTCATTCCAATTTACTTAATCGCCAATGTTTTTGGCATGGGGAATGGCTCCACATTATACTTTCGTGAAGTTTATGTGCAAAAAGAGAGAAGCGTGAAGTAAAGGCACTTAGGCAGGAAAAATCAAACACACCGGTATAGAATAGATGTTACCTGGCTCAGTATTACTTCCAGGGATGGGCTTCAAAAAATTTAGCGACTGGTTCTCTGTCCGGTTGCTGGGTAGGCGTGGCCATGGTGGGCGCGGCCTAGTCAGCCTCCTGCACCATGGTGGGGGTGAGGGGGAATTATTGCAAAAATGGCCTCCCCGGGCTCTGGAGGCTCTGTGGAGATAAAAAACGGGCCCATTTCCAGCCTTCTGGAACTTCTGGGTGGCCTCTTTTTGGCCCTCCCCAGGCTCCAGAGATTTTCCTCGAACCTCCAGGCGGCCCATTTCCTGCCTCCCCGGGCTCTGGAGGCTCTCTGGAGGCTGGAAATGGGCCCATTTCTGCTCTTCTGGGACTTCCGGGAGGCCCATTTCCCCCTCTCTGGGCCCTGGAGGCTCTCTGGAAGGCAGGAACAGGCCTGTTTCTGGCCTTCTGGAGCCTCCGGGAGGCCCATTTCCCTCCTGGCTGGGCTCCAGAGGCTCTCTATAGGCCAGAAACCAGCCCATTTCTGGTCTTCCAGGTCTTCCGGGAGGCCCATTTCCCTCCTCCCTGGGCTCCGGAGGCTCCCTGGAGGCCAAAAAAGGCCCATTTCTGGCCTTCTGGAACCTCCGGGAGGCCCTTTTAGCGCCCTCCCAGAGCCTCCGTGGGGCTCTGCACTTACCTGAGATCCAAAATGGGCTGCATGGAGACTTCTGGGGAGGGGCAGGGTGGGCAGGATCAGCCAGTTGTTGCAACTACCGGTTTGGCAAACCAGATGTAAAATTAGCATCCGGTTCATGTGAACCGGTGCGAACCGGTAGCTGTCCACCCCTGATTACTTCCGGTGAGAAGGATGGAGATGTCCTGTCAAACCACCCCTTAGGCATGAGCCGGGTGTGTTCTGCAGCTGCCAAGAAGACCAATAGAATCCTAAGCTGCATCCATAGAGGGATAGTTTCAAGATTGTGGGAAGTGATGGTACTGCTTTACACTTCACTGGTGAGACCACATCTGGAACACTGCATCCAGGTCTGGTCACCCCATCCCAAATGCTGAGACCCTGGAAAGAGTGCAGAGAAGAGCAGCGAAGATGAATAAAGGGACTAGAGGCGAAACTGTATGATGAACAGTTAAGGGAACTAAGTATGTCTAGCCCAATGAAGAGAAGGCTCAGAGGAAATATGATAGCATCTTCCAATACTTGAGGGTTATCACAGGGAAGAGAGCATTGATTCATTCCCCATAGCAACTGAGAACAGGAGAAGACTCAGAATCAGAATAGAGCTGGAAGGGACCTTGGAGGTCTTCTAGTCCATCCCCTTGCTTCAGCAGGAGATCCTATACCATTTCAAACAAGTGACTGTCCAGTCTCTTTCTTAAAAACCTCCAGTGATGAAGCACCCACAACATCTGAAGGCAAACTCTAATAATAAAGACAGGAAAAGTGTAGAAAGAAAGAATAAAAAAGAAAAAAAATGAAAGAGGTTTTTAAATTTCTTCCTTTGTAATTAAATACAATCACAAAATTTTCTCTTATCCTATGATTACAAAAAAAGCTCATGT